GAGAGTCCACTTTGTTAAACATTCTTTTAAAAATGAAAGTTTATTGATTTATTACACTTACACATTACGCTTTTATAATTATTAGTTGTAAAACGGTCACCAGACAATATTATCGTTTATCGCAATAAATTTTGAGACAATTAATCGCCCAGCAAAATTTGTTATCGTGACAGGCCTAACAGTGAGTATCTGTAGGCCTATATACAGGCCCACTGACTGATTACAAGACTGTAGACACCAGTGATGATAATTACTGGACACAAAAGATTTGATAAGATATATCCATTTGGTCACATTATTTTCAGGGGTGCCATCATTTTTGTCCAGGCCTGTTTGGTTGAAAAGAAATGTCTGACTTTCATTTTTATTATTATTTTTATTTATTATTACTTTTGTCAGATTCAAGTTATTTTGTGACCATTGTGGGGTTTTTCTTTCATTAAACGAGGGGTACCAACAATTTTGTCCACATGTGTATGCGTTGGGAATGACTCAACCTCAATCTTATAACTTTAAGATTAATATCTAAAACGCACTGAAAGAGTTATTTTTGTGTTGCTGATGTTGATAAGCTGTGGAGGCTATCTTAAATAGGTTAATCAGTTGTATATGTACTAGAGCTGGGCAATAAATCGATTTAATCGAATAATTTGAATTTTCCATTTAAAAAGATTTAATTTTTGGAAAATCGCGATTTTTTTCCCCCCACCAGTGCACTCTTTGGGGCTTCTGTAGTTCAGAGGTCATCCCACCTGTCCCTCAAGATGCTTGGTACGTGACATGACAATATGGCAGCTAGCAAAGAGGATCTACTTCCCCCAAAAAGTCACTGTTGCTTCAGTTTTCTGGAACTGGTTAGGTTTTGCAACCTCGAACATGGAGCAACAAACACCTCACTGCAAAATCTGTTTAAAGACTCTTGCTACAAAAAGCAGGAGTGTATACAACAAATTTGTTTAGACACACGAAACAGAGGCATTCAATTAATTTGGAAGCAAAATCGATTAAAATCAAAAATCGAATTTGGGATGAAAAAAATCTGAGGGTTTTTTTTTTTTTCTTTTTGGAGCGCGGGGAGTGGGGGGGGGGGGGGGGCATATCGCCCAGCCCTAATATGTACACTAATTTCTAAAGTCTCATTCAAATCTGTACAGTAGTACATGCTGCTCATGACTTTTTTTTTTTTTTTTTTGCCACAGACAGAAAAAGGGGTTGACGCCAAATACTAATGTCTTTTGAGAAAAATGTTGAATTTGTTCTATTTTATTATTATTGTTGTAGCTGGGGGATATGGCTAAGCTTTTACAGGGTATCTACTAAATAACAATACGAAGTAATTTAAATGAAACAGCCCTACCCGCTATCTTCCTTACATTGGCAGTACCGGAACTCACAACAGCGGAACTCATTTTCATCTTTCACAATAAGAGTCTCAAATGCAACTTGACTCGCAATTTTACTTGTTTCTAGAAATTTACACAGTGTAAACTTACACAGTGTAAATTTTACTATAAAAAAGGCAACTATAATGGAATCTACTATCAAAATATTCTGATGGTTATAGAGTTTTTTTACGTCAATACTCGGCGTGCATGTTTGGGGTTCTTATTGTGAATAACTGATTCTTACGGAGTTCCGCTGCGGATTGATTTCAAAAGAACGCTTCCGCGTAGTGATGCGACTGCTCAATGAGGTATAAAGGGGTGATAATGGAGGTGTATATACGTCATTGGGAGTGCTCTTGTGGATCCGTTCATTTAAAAAAAGCGGTACCGCCAGTGACGTAATTATAGCTACGGGTACGGTCGCCCGTCGAGCCCTCACGAGAAGGATCTAGTGGCTCTCATAGTGGTCCTGTTTTTCCTCGCCTCCAAGGGGGCGTGTGATCTCACGTGCCAATCAGGCATCTCAACCATACAAAGTCCACACAAAAGAAAGCGCTGTTTTCAACCGTCTTAGTTTATTTATAGGCGATAATATACTGTCTATATAAATGTGCTATTGAAGAACAGTAGGTTGCAAATGGTATGTCTTGTCTATGATAGTTTTCTTGAAAATAAGATTATTTTAAGTAGCTGGAACGACACTTCAACATTTTCCATTTGTGTTATTTTGCAGACAAAAGTGCACCAACAACATTCAGCTTTAACAACAACAACAACAAATCGGAACTACAGTTCGCTTTCTCAGGAATTGTTTTGAAACACTTTCATTTTTCCCCTCAATAAGTCCTCTATTTTTATTTCTGTAAATTATTTTCCTACTTTATATATTTGTACCAATTTGACTTTAGCTTGGTCTTTTTACCTGAGTGACCCTACTTCTGCAAAGCAAACAAAAATCTAAGTTTGGTAAGAATATAGCATTCAAAAAGTAAAATAAAACATCAAACCTCTTCTTACCTTTACACTCCTCTTCACGTGCACAAAAAATAAACAAGATCAACAAAAGGCTTCCACTGAGGTCCTCTTTGGTCTGAATGTTTTTGTCTGGAAATTTCCAGCTTGGGTGTCTTCTGCTTGATTGAAGAGTTTTTCTTCTTCTTGCTTCCGATTCGCTGCTGTCAGCCAATCAGCGCTCCGACTGGCTTTTAAAGCCTAGGAGGATGGCAGCAGCAGCCAATGGCAGCTCGCCTTACACACGCCCAGCATCCTTGGGGCGGGACCAGCCGGGGTAAAATATTCCACTGCAGGAAAGAAAAATCTTCCATTGACTTGCAGGTGGAGGATTAAAGCTTTCCAGAAGAAAACAAAGCACATTGTGAGACGTGTTACACAATCACTTGGCAATCTAACATTGCTTATTTTAATTGGTTTATGACGTTCATGCATGTATAATTATCTTATTCAGCTAATGTATCATGCATAAAAACATCTTGAAATAAAAACAAACAAATAAATAGTAGATACAGCTTTAAATATCTGCACAGGAGTCTATAACAAAGCATCAAAATGCCTCAACAAACTCAGGACATAATATTTAATGGCAGTTAATCTTATTGTTGAATAAATAAGTGATTTGCAAATTTCAAACTCACATTTTGTTTGCAGTAAAATATAGTTAACAAATCCAATGTTTCAACAAAGAAATTGTATATTTTTTTAGTGAAAAAAATGTTCCTTTGAACTTTCTGGCAGGCACAATTTTAAGAAAAGGGGCAACAATGTGGTTCGATTAAGTCCAGCGCTTTTTGGATCAGCAATCATTCACTGAGCAACATGTCACCCAGTGCTACAGCACTGGATTCTTTCATCTCTAAATTCCTTTGGGAAAATAAAACTCCATGTATTAGTCTAAAAACACTACAGAAAACTAAAGATAAGGGAGGACTAGACCTTCCCAACTTCTACCACTGCTTCATGGCCAACAGGTTACAGTGCATCTCAAAATGGATAAATCCTAGCCCATTAGACGAATCCTGGATAGAACAAACACTGTGCCATAACATTAGGGTTTCAGACCTTCCATTCATTAAACCATAAAACAACATGTCTGCTTTAAAAGCATTAATATCAGCTCATCTCTGGCAGCATGGTGAGAATTTCTGAAAATGACAAAGTCTTCACTAATCCCCTGTAGACAAACACCCATCTGGAACAATCCTGACATCTTACAACAAAAAACTGTTAAACTTCCCAGGTTGGAGATGTAAAGGAGTTGAACTTCTGGGACATATATTTGAGGGTGCAGACTTTGTTCAATTTAACAGATTAATAATACAATATGGCATTGACAAGAAGAAATTTTTAGAATATTAACAAATTAAATCTATCATAAAATATAAATTTAAGCTCAATAATATTTGATTAGAAACACCATCAAATGTATTAATATTTCTTCATCTTAAATCCCCAAAATTGTTATCTAAAATCTACAAAAAATTGTCTGGCATAGATGACTCAATATCACTCCCTATGGTTAAATGGGAGACAGACTTATCAGTTAACTTTGACCAGAACACCTGGTCTCAAATATGCTTAAGAACATTTAAAATGACTAGAAACCCCAATTTACAATTAATTCAATATAAAGTCCTTTAGAGTACATTACACAGGTCAGCGAATGTTCGAGATGGGTTTTGCATCGTTTGACACGTCCTCACAATGCGCAGACTTGTCTAAATGTCTGAAATGTAATATTCCACTCTCTCCGTCTGTTTTCTTATTGGCTATTTTAGATGATGTCACCTCAGAGAAAAACAAATCTCACATGATTCTCACTGCCTTACGTATCACAAAGAAAACCATACTCTTGAATGGAAAAATAAAAACGCTATTAGTATTAACCAGTATAGAAATCTCTTATTAGATCACATTAGTCTGGAGTCAGCCTCTGCCGCTACATCAGATCAACATCTCTGGGCTCCTTTAACCCGCTTAATCACAAAGGTGGGGGGTCCGGACCGCGTCTTGTGGGGCAGTGGAGCTGGGGGGTATCGGGGTTTGGGGCATCTGGGGGTGTTCTTGGGGGCGGCGCGGCTGGGGATTCCCAGGCAGGGGGTGCGCCCTGGGGGCCAGGGCCTCTATGTCCATGCCTGGATCTGCTCTGGCGTGGTGGGTACCGGCGGGGCCTGTGAGCTCGTCGCTGCTGGCCCCAGGAGTTACTGAGTGTGGTCACTGTTGGGGCTCTCCCAGTTCTCTCTTGTGGTCCTCTTTGGGGGGTGGGTGGGCGGCCCTTCCGGCACGGGTGTCTCTGGGGCTCGGCGCTTGGGGTCCCTCTCGGGGTCTTTGGCGTTGGTCTCCCTTATGTCAGCTTTGGGCTTTGCGGGTCGGGTCTGTGGTCCTCCACAGTCACTTTGAAACATTCCATTGGAGAGATCTTGTGTATACATGCTCACAACTGCAAACAAACAGGTGTTTACATCCTGGGTTTTCTACTCAGACTCTGACTGAATGGTATGTGCACATGGGTATGTGTGCACATGGGTATGTGTGTGTATATATATATATATATATAT